GTCACTTTTAGGAGATTTCTTTGAAGGTCATTAATGGGTGTCAGGAGACAAAGGAAAGCTGTGTCAGGCGAAGCAGAAAAAGGGACTTGTTTTCCAGCAGATGTTCTGCGAATCTCTATAGTTAAGGAAAAACTAAGTACAATCAGACGGGGCTCTGACAATTATGAATTGTTGTGCAGTTTTGACTCAATTTTTCGGTTGTTTGGAGGGTTTTTTAACTCATAATTAAAATTAATGTGGGTTTTTTTTTTCTTCTGGCCATGTTGTCAGGTTTTCTTCAGGCAGCCTGCTGCAGAAATCAGGGAGGAGTTCCATCCTCAAATGGTAGGTGAAAATGGTAAAGTACCTACATGTGATTTCACTATGCTCTTAGTTTAAAAGAGAGGGATGGAAAAAGTCCTTTCATCAGTAACTGCAGCAGATCGAAGGGTAGAAGCCTGAAGTACAAGCAATTAGTTGTTTTGAATTAAATCGGATAGAAGCCACGTATCCCGTAAACACCCACCAGCCACACTAAATGCGAGGGAAGAAGTCACCACAGAAATAACGTGCGTTGGAGAAGGAATTTCCCCAGCGTTAGCAGGTCCCTGCTCTACAGCTGCTTTTCTCTTGCACAAGATGTGCAACAAAACGGGAACGTGTGTGTTTGTTTCTGGGAGCCTCCTGAGAGCCGAACCGGAGCCAAGCGAGAGCCGCGGCTCCTCCGGATACACAGACTGCTAAATTCATCTCCTCTCTCCCGGTGGGAGTACGTCCCCATCCGACCCCAGGTACTGAGTCACCGACCACCCTGAGCTCCCCCGCGGCTGATGACTGTTGTTTTCATCTGGGGTTTATGCTTCTGAGTCTCCAGTGTGGCTGGATGAAGACATATGCCTAAAAGTTGTCTTAAAGAATGAGCTTGGTGCTAGTAATGCTATTTATTTTTCCTACACATCACTTTGTGGGGGTTTTTTGGTGGTGGGTTTTTTGTTTTTTTTTTAAACAAGACACTTGGGTCCCAAAAGTAGCAAGTACTTCTTCCTTCAGGAAATGTCACTCTGGCATTGCAATCTTTCAGGCGACGTGACAGGTCTTTTGTAGTACGTGCTTTTTTAACAAATGCACAGAGAAAGTTTCAATGCAACTCAAAGGCGGCAGAGGCAGTTTTGATGACAACAGTTAAACCTGCAGGAAGGGCTTTTTTTTCCTAATTTTTTTCCTGGAACAACCTCCTTCCCATAGGAATTGAATAAATCTTTTACATTGCATAATTAGAGGCACAGGTACAATGGGGAGAAAGGAGGCTTTGTCCTCCCTTTGCCACGCCGGCACAGCGCTTTGTGTCAGTGATGGCGAAAGGACTCCAGTAAATCATTAATCCTCCATCTCCAGTCAACAAAGAGATTGCTTTTGCCTCCAAATTGTATATTTTTCTGCTAAGGGGTGTCGAATTGTCCCTCAAATCCTCAGGTTTTCCCCACTGACTGTGGTGGGGTACTGCCAGGGACTGGGCTCAGATCCTCCTGCTAATTGTGACCTTTTATTTTATTTTTTAGGATTCGTCAGTAGGAGTTGTGCCTTAAGTAAAAATTAGGCTTTGTATTTTTACAACGTGAACTGTTATGTATTCCCTTCTGATGAAGGGCAGCAAGCGTTGGCACAGCAGTAAGGACAAATATTTTATTGAGGCCCCGTGAGCAAATTGTCTATTCAAATTAAAAGTGCAAACCTGCCGCTGAGAACACTGAGTCAGCACCACTGGGTGAGATCTAGGAACAACATCTGATACGGTTTCCCAGCTATTTTCCAATATACACAAATACTAAATGCCTTTGTCAAGTGGAGTTTAATAGAGACAGCAGTGCTTTGCTTGCCATAAAAATAACTGTGAGAATGAGAGCTGGCAAGTCTCCTACCAGACCTAGTACTGATTTGTTTTGTTGTACTTGTTTAAGAATTCATGGTAATGACAAAGTCGGACTTTCTTTTTTTTGCTAAACGTCTATTGTTTCCCATGGTATCTGCATCATGAAGGAAGGAACAAATACATGCTTCACTTTTGATGTTATTCTGCTGAAATGCAGTTTGTATTTTTACAGCAAATGCTAATCTGTCCTGCGGATCACAGCTTTTTTCCTGCAACAGAAAGCAGGTTCCTCTGTGGGGTTAAATCTTGGAGTAGCTCAGTCAGTCGCAGGCCGTACATGTCACAGCCTCTCTACTACCACTAGTAAAGACCCTGTGCAGCCCTGCCCTGGCACAGCTACAAGGAACCATCAACGGTGACAAAGGTGGGGTGCTCCTGGCCAATGCTGCTGCAAATCCCCCGCAAAAAAACTAACCCCAGAACGCCTGGAGAGTAACAACAGCTACTATTTACTAATAGTAATTACTAGGCACTCCATAAACACGAAACAACCAAGGCAAAGCTCTTTTTGTCTAAAGAAATGACGTCCTCGGTGTGAGACCAGCGACAGCAGATGGGAGAGCCCCGGGAAACAATGAGACAATGCTGGCTGGCGGGGGGGAACCGGCCCCAGCACTCCTGGCAAAGGGGCGTTTGGCGAGTGAATCCGAAGAGGAGCCGTTACAATCCTGAACCAGGATTCAACAATAAAATTTTATTCAACTGTTAAGTTTTTGAGATTTTCAGGTTTCAACTGAAAATCGTTCAGTTAAAAACGACTTGCTTGCCAGGCGGAGAGACGTGAATGACACCCGTACCAGTGCTGCAGACTGTTCTGTTGTCAAACGTGACTCAAAAAGCGACGCTCAGCCAGCAGTAACCAGTCAGGATTCAAAGTAACACCAGCACCCCAGTCAGGATTCAAACTAACACCGGCACCACCAGTGCTGGTGGTTTACCAGCCTAGCCCTCAACATTTATCAAAGTGAATAGGAAACACTAATGCTATGAATCAGAAAAAAACGAGGCTCTTCAGAAAAGAGAAGGAAACGCCAATCTGGACATTAGAAAAGAGCACTAATTTCATTAAGGGATTATCCTTCGGAGAGGATTTTCTCTTTTACAAGGTTGATAAACTTCCCATCTTTGCTTCAGCTCTGTGGGGAGCACCCAAACCAGCCCAGCGCTGGAGGGCTGGCTGTGCTTCGCGGGGAGCAGAAGCTCTTCCAGGGCCGGACTTGGGGCATCCATGTTCAGCCCCATCTCTGACCCCCTGGGGAACCTGGAACTTGGGAAAGATAAAGCCTTTAAATACTGCACCCCCTCCAACTCAGCAAAGTACTTAAGCTCATAATTTTCCTGCTTTGACAGTGTATTTTAATACACAGCATTGACGCTAGTTTAACGACTTTATCTTTCATTGGCATAACTGCAATGGATAATCAGTCGTGACAAGAAAATGCCTAAAGCATTTCTTAGGCTTTAGGTTTGGGCTTCCGACCAAAAGCCTGGGGGTTGGTTTAAAGAACATGGACACAATTATTTTGTATAACTAGTTTCTTTAATGGCATAAAAACGTAAAACTTTTCCTGCACATAAGGCAAGAGAGCCCACACCCTGTATGTTTTGTCAAAGCACTGTGAACACACTGGTAACACAAAATAAAAGCTCTTTTCTAAATTGATCTTATAAAAAGCATATATTAGGATGGGCATTTGGACCTTTGTAATGGATACAGAAAATGTCTACCTTTAGAAAAAACCAAGAAAAAAACCTAAATCATTGTGTTCGTGTGGACTAGCTTTGTCCCTAATTTTACTGAGTGAGATGGAATTCTGTAACAAGCCTTCAGTTTTAACTGTAAGCATTTAGCCCCAGGAAGGAAAGTGAAGGGCAAGACAGACATAAACAGCTATCATTCTGATAACTCTTTACAGTTAAAACAATATAGATAAGGATTTTTATTTTTTTAACTATACACATATCAAAATCTGACTATCTCTGGGCATCTGTGCAGTTCCTAACAAAAGGGAAATGTGTCCCAAGGTATTCAACTTAGAACTAAGGCTGACTAAGCCTTCTTTAGATTGTCCAGCTCTTACGAAGGTGGCAGAAACCCCACTGTCTGAACCTCTAGCGCGGGTCTGAAAAACACAACTGGGATGTATTAATAAGGCATAAGGGTGTTTCTGTTCTTAATTACAGCAACTGATCAGTTTTGCACAGAAAAAAAGATTGTTCCTGTTCAGAGTATCTACAACAGGAGATGACTTGGATCAGAAATACTACTCTATGACTGCACCGGGCACAAGGATTGCATAAACAGACTCTGATTCAAAAGTCTAAATGCCCCACGATTTTCATATCAAAACGTTGTGTATCTTTTCATGTCTAAATTACATTCTGTCAAGGATGCTGCGGATGCCGTTACAGCTGGAAAAAAACACATTATCAGTCCTATGAAAACAAACTCGCTTATTTTCTACTGTCAAGAACTTCCAATGCCATCTTCTAAGGACTTTCTCAGGACATGACAAGCCTGTAAATTTAATAAGTACTTCTTCCCCTCAAGTGACAAAGCTCTACCTTCTTCGTGCATCTCAATGACAAGAACTTCCTTCTGCAAATAAAGGCAACAGAAAAAGGCCACCATTCCTGTTCTGAGTGGTCAGCTCCTGGCACGAAGAAACATAACTCAACACAGTATTTCATTTCAGGGTGGCTTGCCCAGCTTTGTCAGTCTGACTTCTTATGCTAATGAGAACTCTTTCAAAAATCCTCTTTTCTCATTGTGTGCCCCCTGACACCAAGACAGAATAAGCATGCATATGCCCAGAATGCAGCCAACAAAAGGAAAAAGGTAGCTGTATCCGGACAAAAAAGGCCTAATTTCTACTGTCTCTAAGCTCACGAGGGATACTGAGATCATGTTTCCTGTTCTGAACTAAATTTGGTATTTGTGGGGAATGGGCTTGTTCACCCTCACGTGCAGACTTCCCAGCCTGTGAACGGGAGAAACGTGACAGATCTCCAGCGACACAGAGGTGCACAGGTTGCACCAGCACAGGCTGTATGAGAAGCACAACGTGTAAAAAGCACGAACACGAACTATCTACGTGGTTCGAAACAGGCTCTGAATCTTATTGCTCACCTCCTTTGTAAATTCAAAAACCTCAGAAGGATTTCCTATAACATCAATGTGAGTATCATAATGAGTGATCAAAACAGAAGGGTAGTGGGGTTTTAGACTTTTACACACACGTTCATATCTCCACTTTTCATCTCTGGTGCGCTCTTCAAAGTAAATCCTTTCTTTACGTAAAGTGTTATGGAGTTTTATAGACTGATTTTCAATTTTCTCTTTGACTCTTAATACCTGTCCAGCATCAGACCTACTTCCAGCATTCTCAATATATACTGTAGTTACATCACCATCAGTGACATCAGAAATTACAACATCACCATTTACTAGGAACATGCTGGGAAAAAAGTACTTCATGTAGTGATACATATCAGTGTCAAGAACAATCACTTGTTTTTCCCAATCTGCATTACGAACAAAATTACTCGTCTCCGTGGTAAGTTTGTGTTGCTGTAGCCTCTTCTTTGGTCTCTGATGGGACTTATCTTCTCTTTCGTCCTTCTCTGAAAGGGATTTTGCTTTCAGTAAGAGAAAGTCTCTTAGCAGTGTGATCGCTGGAAACGACCCTTGAACAGAAATATGCCCATTGGATTGCAAAGGACCAAAGCTCAAAGCTACGCTCTTCTTTTTAAGTTCTTGTATCAGATCTTCTAAAACAAATTGATCTTTGAAAATAGACATGTTGAGGACAGATGTGACAGAGCTGAAGACCTAGAATTTTGAATTAGAGAAGTTAAGTAATGGTTAACATAGCAATGGAAGTACAACTAGGTAAATTATGAATGAGCTTACGTTTTCACAGTAACGGGTTACTTTCAGCGGATAGTATCTGGACAACCTCTTGTCTTCTAGTCGATGTTCATCCTTCTTTAGAACACTCTCTACAACTGAAGAGAAAGCCAGATTCACTTGTTGTGCAGTAAGATAATACACCATTGCCAGTCTGATGGCAGAACACTTCACGACTGTTTTTCTCTCGATGCTTCCCCTAACAATTTCCCATACATACACACAGGCGATTCAATATGCTTGCCTAATATTTTATGTATTAGTCAAAATTGTTCTGAGAGAGACAGAAGCTTGTCTTCTTACAACATTAATTGGCAGAGATTTATTCTCAAAGGCCTGACTACAAATAACCTGTTATGCATGGTATAAAGTTATTCCTAAAAACCAACACAAAAAACGCTTTGCACAAAGACTGTTCAGAGCCATGTGTTCACTGAACAGAAATAAAATCCTAAAACTTTGACTAAAAGAGAGGTGTTAGTGTCCCATTTCTATAAAATCCTAGTACCAGTAAACAATTTAAAATCATGTGGTTTAGGGTTGACATTCTAGGGCTAATTCTTTGGGGACAGCTGTATTTAGTATATTAATCTACATACCTTCTTCATCTTCAAAAGTTACATACGCAACTCCTTTTTTCATTGTTGGATACATTACTTCTTCCACATCTCCCCCATTATTCTTCGACATTTGGAAATGAATCATCAGTATGTCCGTCATGACATCATCGTGCAGAAGGCCATCTGGAATACCAGCGATGACAACCGTCCTTGCCGATTTAGCAGCTTGTCCTGTTGCCTGCGCACAGAGACATGGCACACTGTAAATGCAAGGAGCACTGGTGACCTCTCGTAGAGGTTACCCAGCTTCACCCTGATCGAATGAAAAATTTTAATTGCACGTATTGTTCAGTAAGGATTGTCTTTTCTGAGCGGAAGGGTCAGATTCAGACTGTCCTTACTTGCTAAATTCATGAGAGCCGGGATCCAGGGCTGTGCTATGACTCATCCCTCTCCACTGCCTGAATGGATAACCTTGTTAAATTGGAAGAACATAATCCCAGTCATTTGAGACTCGCTGTGCATAAAACAACTAACTACACACATGATTTTCATCAGAGCCAAACCTCCCAATGCTGCAAACATGAAACCCATCCTAAATAGGATTTGCATCCATGTCTGGTTAAGAAAAGCATATTTTCTTTCTATTCCTATGACACAGTGTGTAACATTTCACTCTATCACAGCAAAATTACTGTAGATGGTGGAACACTGAGTAAATTTTGTAACAGTTCATTGACTTTTTGGAAGAAAGAAAATAATTTAGCATGTCTGCACGGCAGCAGCATTCACGGGAACAAACTGTCAGTAACTTCAGAGCGACTGTACTCAAGGTCAGTTACTCCCATCTAAATTCTTTAGACTTCTCTTACAAAGTTTCTTCTGGGCCTGGGGCGCATAAAACATTAGGGCTGGCGCAGAGTTACAAAAGCCTGCAGAATGTGCCGCCGGGGGCGAATGCTTCGTTGACGTAGATCCAAAGCCTTGTGGACCACCACCGCAGTGTTTCTGAAGGGAGCGAGGAGACAGATTCAATGTGACTGTGCAACCATGCAAGCTTTTAATTCATAAAGACATGAGGCCTTTTTTTTATCACCCATCAAATTTAAAGAGCCAGGAGCTTTAATTGTATTAGGCAATTATGTTGGTGGTAATGTTCGTGCGAAAGCAAGTTTCTGCACTAATGAGACAACATGAAGAGAATATAAACAAGGTGCTTCCAAGATCGACGAAGTTTTATGTAGGATTTTCTCACGCTTCACACAGCCGATGCAGCCCGTGCACGAGCGGGAGCACTCAGCTGCCAGGCACCATCTCGTACCTTGCCAGCTGGTATTTTGGAGCAAATACTCGTGCATACTACTGGGGTTAGGAAAAAACCCAACAACAAACCACCCATGAACATACAGTTCGCTTGTGCTGAATCACTCCTAAGACAAGCCTGCGTTCAGTGCCGTGCTAGACAGAAATGCGGAGCTGTGGAAGGTGCCGCGGGGACGGGTGGGAAAGGCAGAGGAGTGGCATCGCCGGTCACTGGTGACTGCAGGGCCCTGCGCGTGGCTGGGCCATTTCTTGGCAAACCTGTTACATGGATCTGCGCTGACAAGAGATCGGATAGGAAGACTTACCCATAGACCTCATCGGTTCTCACCGTTATTAAAATAACTAGAATATTAGTACTAGTGAGAGGGAAATCAGACCTGTTGCTACCACTAAGTACCCAGAGGGCGAAGCCAGCAGGCTGCTGGCTGAGCACCGAGTATTTCTTCGGTGCGGGGACCAAGCGAGGGACGGACACGATTCACTCGTTTCCTTCACCTCGCAGTTACTTTCAGCCCCCCGTAGACCTTTAGCAAGCGGCGCAGCAGAAGGCCGCT